GGGGACGCGGCCCACCTTACTTTGCACACCGGATACACTCTTAACCTGTTTTACATCTGGAATCAAACAACGGAGCGCCGGGTCAGCACGTCAGCTGGAGCCCACCCGGCCTGCGGCCCACTCGACACCGAGCCGGGGACCACGCAACGTGTTTCACTGGGGTCTCAAAATGCACTCAAAAGCATCCTTCATGGGGGAAAAGTTAACAAGAGCGAAGTCAGGATCAAATCTGTTCATTTACAATGCAAGCTCAGTGGGGTTGCGACCTCACACTCTCGCAGTCCGCTCGCGCTGGGAAACGGGTGCTTCTGAGGCGCAAACCGCCAACCAACTGGCTGGGCAGTGGTTTAAGGACCAAAGCACTCTGCCTGCCGGGTTGTTTAAAACCCCCGTAGTTACTCACGGGCAGAGGTGAAGGGCCCTCAGGCTATGTCCACAGGTGCCCTCTCTAAAGATCTTCTTGCTGTTCCTCTGAACATAGTAAGAATTTAGGGCTTAAGAAAACCGACTTCAGCTGGAGAGACACAGGCCACGGCACTGGGTGCCAACAGGGGTCCCAGACGCAGCCCCATCTCCACACGGACTCGGCTTGTGCAGCCCTCACCCACGGTCCACGCTCAGGGACACGATTTCTGGTGGGGCAGAAACACTGACCTGTGTGAGTCCACGTTCTGCGAGTGCATTCACTGCCTAAACTAAAGAGCAGAGGGAGGGAGGGAGGCAGGGAGGGGCTGGCCACCTTCCACGGGTCCTAGTCCTAAGAAGTCCAATGATGACAGAATTTAAGTTAAGAGGATCTTTTATACTTGTGCAGACTTTACTTAAAATATCAAAAAAAGTTTATAAATAAGGAATGTAATAGCTGCTTAAAAATGTTATTTTCTCCCCAAAAGAGTCAATAGTCAAGTTTTTCTTTTAAAGCTCCTGAAATATTTTAAAAGAAATTTCTTTGTGGTTCTTGCTTCCGTCTAAGTTATCCAGGAAGTATTCTCCATGACTAACTTTAATTATTAATACTTTTGAGGGGAAAAGTCAGTTCCAGAAAAAAAAATCTGCCCTAGCTTAAACTATCCTCCAGTGCAGCCGCCGTCCCTAACCGCCACCACGGCGGCACTGCAGGACCCGACGCCCTTCCAGCGGGAGACCCGGCTGCAGGCGCACTGAGCTTCAGGGCCCCCCCCCCCGTTAGCTGTTATGTAAAGGCATCCTCCATGAAGCAGGTGGCCTGTTTTCTCTCTGAAAGCCCCACTTGAAAGTAAACCAAAGAAAACAAAGCAAAATCCAAGTAAGCAAAACCCAGTTCATTCTTTTGGTTTGTCTTGTCACCAGGAATCAGAAGCCCTAAAATGATTCCAGATCTGATGTGATCGAGTCAGACAAGAAGGCTCTGGAAGGCCCGGAGCAGCAGCGTAGGGGAGAAAACACCGACACGGGCCCAGCGGCCGGCGTGGCTCCAGTGGCAGGAGCTCCCGCCCGTCCCCGCCCCTCAGCAGGTATCTGGAATTACACCACGAAGCCAAGTGTCCGTACCTAGCCCAGCTCTGAGCCGATGGGACAGAGGGCGTTTCAGTTTATAAGGAACGTTCTATGCATAACATATGGCTGGCTAAAAAAATTCTAAAACGATACTTAGCTAATATGGTGTACTGACCACTTAACTGTAGCCAAATTTAACTTAGACTGAAATATGTTGGTAAGAGCTTTTAATTGATTACCAGCTACCATTTCACTTCCCTAAGTCCTACTTAGCAAATACCTTTAGATATACGTTTAGATCAGTGTAAAATGCAATCTGAGCATTTACATATAAACTAAAATTTGAAGATATCAAAATTTCATTAAATAGTTGTTTCTTTTATAGTAGTAAGTGTAAATTACCACCCTGGGATAGCAGAGAACCATGGAGTGTTAGCTAACTTTGGGCAGGATCATTAAATTTGGACAACTCAGAGCATTCCAAATTGAGACAGTACGCATGTACTGTTTCCTCCCTAGAAACTGTATCCTCGACATAGTCATAATCCAATTCATAACGAATTTATAAAAATAGCTTTTTATCCAATAATTCCAGCAAGGTAAAAATAGGCGTTTCTTTTCACACGTAGCAAACGACACAGGGTTAGGGACGCGCGCAGCCGTGTTTCAGTTGCTGTACGCTCACCACCAGGCCACACTCCGCTTACTGTGTCGCCAACACCTCGCACTGGCCGTTTAAGGTGCAGAAGCTTCTTTCAAATCCATGGGCTTCGCAAAGAAATTAGCCCGCTGAGACCGGCTTGAACCACAGAACTAAATTAAAACTGCATGATTTTTTAGAACATGGCAGCACTAGTCCTCAATCTAACTGGGGGTTCGTGGGGGGAGTTGTCATTCATCACATTTTTAGAGTTAAACCTTTAAAGAATTTCCTTAAAAACACACATACGCACACACAAGCACACACACACCTTGAAAGAAGTCGCTGCACCGGCCGAGCTCACTATGAAGTACAAAAGTGCACTCTTCTAGACCTACATATAAAACATGTTAGCAATAAAACTGTGTAAAATGTTTGCTGTGCAAACTATAAAAAGTCAGGCCATGCACGGGCGGCCACGGCCCTACTGCAGGGAGTCGCTGTTCTCCAGGACCAGCCCGCCGATGTGGCCGGGCGCCAGCGCAGCTGTGCCGTCCCCCGTGCTATCCACCGACTCGTCCTCGCTCTGCTCGGCCATCATCACCTGCTGCACCGCCAGTGTGGCCCCGTCTGAGGACAGGGACTGCAGGCTGTCCACGTTCATGCTCACAGGTGTGGTGATCGTCACAACGGCTCCTGCAGCACAAGGCGCCCGTCACCAGCAGCTCGACACTTGGCTTGAGCACATTCCACCCCCCGACCGCGCGGGCCGTACAGTGGGACCCCTACCAGCCCCCATGCACGCTGCCAGGGCACTCGAGACTGTCCGGGGAATTGGCCCCTGACCCTGGGTAGCTAAGCTCTGGGTCCACAGAGGGTCCAAGGGGCTCAGGGCAGGAAGGGCAGAGGCCCAGGTGGAAACCAAGTGCCATGTGGAGAACAGAAGACCCAAGGACACAGGGAGAGGCCACAAGACACAGCCAGGGAGACGGGGGCAGAGGAAGGAAGGCCGTCTGAAAGGGAAAAAAGTGGAGGGGCAGCCACCAAGTACCTGCGAGTGGGGCACAGATTCAAGATGCTGGCCCAGGACTACCCTGAGGCCAGGAAGCCCAGCCTGGGGTGTCCCACGTGCTGATCGTAACAACCTCCACAGAACTAACAAAGGGTGACAGCAAGAGGATGTCTTCTGTGTACACACATGTATGTATGTTCATATGTATGTGTGGTAACATAACACACGTGTTGAGGAAAGTTCTAAAGGAGATTTACTCATCTATTCCTCTGTCTGTGCACAGACCACTGCACCCCACATGCTCTGGGAGCGTCCACAGGAGACTGGTAAGAAGGACCATCCCTGGAGAGGGTTAGAAGCCAGGACGGAGGAAAGATGTACTGTTCACTGGACTTTCTTGTCTGCACGTCTTGCCCAGTAGACAGGCACTGCCTTTTCCAAGAGTGGGGCAAAGGAGGAGGGGAGAGAGAACTAGTACCTCTCCAGCTAATTCTTGGATTAGAAGAGAAAACACAAACTGAAAATACAAATCATTTCAATGTGAATGTAAGACCACTGCATGTCAAAACCCAAATGATGAAGATGGAGCTTGCAGTGCAGACAGCATGACTCGAGGTTAGATGGACACAAGGTCAGCTGATTCGCTGCCCAGTGAGGAGCCCCCAGGCCCAGGGCCCGCGTGGCTCTGGGGTAACTCGAGCGTTTGGCAAAGGACCAATTAGCCCCTGAGTACAGGAAACCACAGAGGCTGGGGAAAGAGTCGGGCCAAAAGATTACCGAGCACAGTGTCCGGGGCTCGCGGAGCTGGGCTGGAAACACTGTCCTGCACAGGCACCGAGTGGAGCACCCCAAGGTTGTGCCTCTGTTCTGGGGGAAAAGCAGCCCGGACTGAGCACTGCTGGGACCACCAGATGAGAACCAGTTGTGAAAACAAAGCACAAGAGTATCAGACAAGTAACTTAACTGCTAGAACAGAGCTCAGGAAGACTTGCAGCAAGACAAAAACACCCAGCCCAGCAAGGTGAAATCCACAGTGTCTGGCGTCCGAAGATCACCAGGCACACAAACAGCCAGGAGAAGCACCCACAATGAGAACTCAGTCCACAGAAACCAGCCCGGCACTGGCAGACGTTAGAATTAGCAGAGAACGTCACCCAGTCACTGCCAACTGCACTGTTTGCTCAGACCTGAAGCCGACTCGTGAAGGGTACACAGACCCACGCGGAACCTCTAGACAAGGCCCGACGGGGTGTGACCAGCGCAGGATCAAGCACCACGAAGACAAGGCCCAGGAAGCGGAAGGTCCGAAACAGAAACAAGCTCGCCAGAATGAGACACAAACAGACTCCAACAACCTGGGAACAGCAGAGCCTGTGTGAGTTTCCGTGACGGTTACATGGGCACCTGGAGCCCCTGGCGGAGAAGGGGTCGGAAAATACATCTGAAGAAATAATGGCCCCGAAACTTTCTGACTTGACGCTTAACTGCTGAGCGAAAAAAGTCTGAGGAGA